CAAAAATTGCTCTGAAAGGCAAAACTTGCTCGAGGTTGCTAAAACCGCAAAAAGTTGCTCCAAACGCCAAAAGTTGCTCAAAAGTTGCCGAGCTCAATCAGGATAGGCCTAACCGAGTGCTATCAAATTGATAAAAACTATATCATATCATTATATGTGATATCATTTTTTTAACATTTTTTTTTTGTCTCTTTAGCCACACTTAAATTTGCTGGTGTATGATCGAAACATCTTCGGATCTTCCTCGGTCATCTTCGGCAATCTTCGAAAAATGTTCGGAAACGTTCGTCTGGCCTTCGGAACAGCAGAGGGGTATTCTGTCTGCGCATGCGCTAAATCTTTTGGAATGAAATCATGACGCCATTTTGATTTCTCGAGCGTGCGACGGCAGGTTTATTTGGGTGATTTAGCACTCTTCTAGGAGATATCATGGAACGAGATGAAAGAAAGTTAAATGCCTACATACACTGTACGATTAAGAGGTACAAAATATGTGAAGATTTGTCACGATTGATTTGTCGGTAGACTTTCGTTTAGTCAAACCTGTCAATGTTCGTAAGAGGGAGTTGGTTGTCAAAACGGAGGAAAAGAAGAATTTTCCAGCAGAAGCGCAGCGTTACAGAGCGTTATCAATGACTACGATCTCTAACCGCTGACCGTACGTATGACATTGCAGACTCGTTTTCCCACGCTCTTCGAAGTGTCGCGAATAGGCCCTTTGCAGCTAAGCCATCACGTGATCTATTTTTATGACCTACTTGGCCATTTTGGTATTTTCGATGCGCTCTTACCATTTCTGGCATTCTTTAAGTTATACCCCATAATATAAAACTTTTTTTAGGAAAAATTTGGTCACGTGACCCCAGCTGCAAAGGGCCTATTAGTGAGTAGACAAAGTTTTCTATTCTTTTTTTGTTTTTGTTTTTTTGTGGTATAACCAGGTACAGCTATCAGCGAATGTGCCAAAACGTTGTTCTCGAATGACCTTACATGATTTTGAGAGGTTTCCGAAAGGTTTTGATTGGAAATACGATCGTTACGTGCCTTCAAAGCAGCTATCGATCGAGCAAATAAAATGCACATTTGCAAATTAATGCTTATTTCATGTTTTCATAAAACCCAGAACTCAACATAATACAGGCAGGATCGATTCTAAAACGCTCTGCTGACAAAAAGCTATCTGAACCAGGTCGATACAAAGATCGTTCACATAAATTCTTCATACGGAAATTCTCCCTCAATATTAAATACCGACAGATCAGGAAGGTTTGCTTTACATATATAAACAAGAGTAAGTTCCGTGTCGTCTGTTCACCATCCTTTAAGCTTAGCTGGATAATATTTCTATACTATCTCAAAGGGATGTCATTGGTTTTATGAAAAGCTTTTATGAAGTTAGAGTTATTGACGTCGCCGTCCTGTACGAAAATTACACAACTTAAGGCCCGGTTTAAACGTCGCATTTTACATGCGCCGAATCAAATACTAATTCTAGTCGACTCGAATGAATAAGTTCGGCTGATTTGATTTAAACGACGCATTTTTTTGCCGAATAAAATTGCTGAGCGCGAGCGATAGCGACGTGTTAATTCCCATTCGAGCGAACATAATTTATTTAACATAATTTATTTAATATAATTTATGAATTAGATTCGGCACGTGTAAAATGCGGCGTTTAAATCAACTGTCGAACTTCAGTCGTATATTCGACTGGATCAGTCGAATATTCGACTGAACTCGCATTTAATTGAAATATGTCGCCTTTAATTGATTTAAATGTCGCATTTTACATGCACTTAATTCGGCAATTCGATTCGGCATGTAAAATGCAACGTTTAAACCGGGCCTAAAGCACTTTGTCTTTCGCGACACGGCACGCGAAAGTTCCCCGCGTCCACTGCTGTTCCCGTCTTGGCCTTCCCGTTCTTGCATCGTATAAAGGTCCCTAATGTTGCCTGTGATGCAGAGGACATCAATGCCATACACTCAAATTTTAAAACAATATTTCGCAATGTAGAGCGGAATCTGCAATCAGGCCTGTTACATCACTGGGCGACTCAAATAGCACAGAAATCACGAATTCACTGTTCACGTTAATTCATTCCTCTCAACGAAACTCGAATCCCTTTCGAGGGATTATTCAGCCCTTTGGAGAGATTATTCAGTCCTTTTAAGAGATAATTCAACCCTTTGAAGGGATTATGCAGCCATTTCGAGGGAGTACACATCCCTTTCGAAGGATTATGCAGTCAGAGCGCAACGCAGTCAATTCCACCACGATTAGATGAGAGTTCCTCTTAAGGAGATATGACACTCTTAGTAGAGTGCAAACAAAAAGCTTTAGTTGACGAAATCATGACCATGGAAAACACATCCACAGAAGCTATGCCTGGTTATTATGTAACTAGTATTTCAGTTTTTCTCCAAATACTCGAAGTGAAAGACAGTCTTTCAGTGTTTACACTTAAGGTAAGGTACATGTGAGAGTAAATCTTTAATCTTTAATCAGTAGACTTATCAGTTACTGCATTAGGGAAAGAGACAGAGAACCATCTAGATTACCACGTGAAGCTTTAAAATCAGTTAAACGCAGAAAAGTAAGAGGCAGAATGAATTAAACATTTCTTGAAGAAAAGTGTTCCCGTTTAATTTCATCTGTTTTAGTCACTGTGGTTACCAGTTGTGAACTATGGATTGCCAAGCTTGCTCATGAAGAAGAGTCTTTTTTTGCTCGATTTTTTAAACAAAAATTTGAACAAGAAAAGTGTTGGTCTTCTGGTAGGAATTATAAATGTTATCCAGAATTTTTGTCCGAGTTCAGTTTGATAATAAGGACTACCTCTTGTCACAAAAGAAGTTTTTGTTATTTGGAGACATTGAATTAAACCCAGGTCCTGCAGAGATTCCTAATCCACTTACCTAAGGCCGTGGATTCATGTGCTCATCGAGCAGCTATTTTTTATCTGGCCAAAACAACTCAAAATATCGTAACTGAACATTTGCTCACTTATAAAGAAGCCTTAGAAAACACGCCCTGGCATCTTTGTTTTATTTGCCAATAGCTATGATTTTGATTAAAATAGAATGTATCATAATCTGGAAACACAGGCAAAAGTGAGTTTGAAAATGGGCTATTTTAACGTGTGTAATTATTCAATAACGAAGCTACTGCAGACAGACAACCTTTATTTAAGTACGATTAAACTTAAAGCTTAGTGGCTTAGTGGCTGTGCGTGTTGTTTGACTCCTGTCTCACAACCAGAAATGGATGGTGCGGATGGACGGAGATTGGCAGGCTCTAACCTCTCCAACCTCTGAGATTGACGCGGAGGATAAACTCGGGATACACAGAAACTGGTACAGCATATCAGTATTTTCATCTTCTCTCTGAATTGCTTATTCAACAGTGCATACACAAAGGGATTGATAGCAGCATTGAACAAGACCATTGTGTTAGCGATGGCGATCGGGACGGGACCAACGCTGCTAGGGTCAAAAGCCCTCAAGGTGTAGGCAACTGAACTTGTGCCCCAACAGATTCCAAAGATGGCACTGACAGCTACTACCATCAAGGTGACGCGCTTCCGTACCCTGATCACGCCCTAAGTGTTGGTAAATGAAAAGATGTAATTTTTTGGGGGCGAAGGCAACATTTCAATTCAATAAAATAAAAAAAAAATAAATGTGCTTAGTAATAAGTAATAAGTAATTACATAGTAACTTTTAAATAAGTTTTAGACATGTCTCGGACCGAATGGTCTTCTCAGAAGACTCCACCAATAATAAACCAAATAATTAATAAGTGAAAAGCTCTCAATAGAAATATTTGGATCGCTAAAAAGGAAAATTTATTGTTTTAACCTTACATACACCACGTACGTGGCCACGAATGCCTGGGTTTGAATCTTATACTTGTTAAATAACGGTTTTTAAAAGTTAAAAGTACTTACCGTTTGATGTTGGTTGTTTTGAAAGTCGTAATTCTGCTTGAACCACAAAGTGTATACAACTCTGGAGTAGGACACAACCATCAGTACAAGAGGAAGAAATGCCAAGGCATCCCACAACAAATTATAACCCACAGCCATCCACTCCTCAGGGTAAATATACACACACGAGTCTCTTTCCTCGTCAAAGTGCCATATCAGGAACGGCGGAATATTGATAAATATTGACAACATCCAAACAGCAGGAATTATCACCTAAAATAGTGAAACGTGAACCTCTTGATATTGACTGAAAATGGCATAAAGATGGCTGGCTATAACTAACTGTTTGCAATACATAATCTAACATAGAACGTGTGCAGAGTGAATGCCAGCAACTACAAGATTGGAGACGAATGTTACGACGGTCTTACAAGAACATTGGGAGGAGTCTTACAAGAATGGTGTCAAATGTTTAACTAAATTCCCATACTAGTCAATGATGGGACATCAAAACGGATACTATTAGTTCAAAATACTCACCGGCTCATGTCTAATCATGCGGTAAGAATTAACTAAAACGTTTTTTTTATAAGTCAAATAAACACTATATAGCCGAACCAATAATAAAAAAATGTCAGTTAGACTAACTTTCAAATTATCCATGGTTATTTTTTCTTTGTCACCAAGAGGATAAACCACTGCATAATATCGCTCGACGGCGACCACAGCCAAGGTGAGTATTGACGAGGCTGCTCCAACCCATGCCAAGGTTCCGGTTATAAAAAATTTACATAAAACTGTACCAGTCACTCCGTCCGGAAGGTTGGTGAAGGAAAATTGGATAATGAACACATTTGGGGAGATAAACGTCACATACAAGATATCAGCAACAGCCAAGTTCACGAGAAGATAATTAATGGGAATCCTGTGGAATATAGATAACATGATATATACGCATAGTAATCGATCGGGCATTCTTGGGTAAGAGAAGCTCGAAAGAGTGTTATAAATACTTCCGATAATTTTAACAGATTTAAACGCCTGAATGGTATATGAAGTCTACATAATAAGTATGCAAATCATGCGGTATGAGAATCATGATCGATCGATCAACCAATCCAC